GACGCGCGCGACATCGCAGCCGGTGTCTGTCTTCGCGACGATGCCGGCGAGTACAGGGTCTTCCCTTACGAGACCGCCTCACTCGAGCCCTTCGAGCAGGCCGTCAGCGCCATGAGCCTTGTCTGTGCCGTCAAGATACGCAGCGCCGTCGCCCATGCCGCCGTCAGCGCAGTGTGAGTGTCTTTTTCCCGTATCATTTTTTCCCGTATCATCGTCCTGTCCTCCATCGTCCCTCGCGGATGGTTCGCGGACGACATTCATTTCGGGCGTATTTTCGTCCTCCGTTCATTGTTGGACACGCTTTACGTCAACGGCGGAGACGGCGTGTCGCGTTCCGTTTTTCCATCTCATCGAGCCGGACGGTCCTCCTAGGTCCTCCTCGAACCGTTCTCGTTATCGCGGCTTCTTTTGAAGCGTGACACGCGTCGAGGGCGTTCCCTGCGACTCGCGCTTCGGTGTCATTTCGAATGGAAATGAAAACCGTCGGCGTAACGGATGCCCTTGCCTGGGAATCTCGTTCGCTTCCTTGTCACCGGCTTGCGCCCTTCCCGCGCCCTTCTGCTGCCGCATTTTCTCCTTGTCACCGTTCCATGTTCCCTGTACCGATGCACAACTAACGGCGCACTGTTCGCAGCGGGCCAGAGGAGAAGAGCGTGTACGTCGACGCGAACACGCGCATCCAGGTTGTCGACACCATGATGCTCCTCCCGCACGCGGACAAAGAACAGAACGCCGCTTTCGTCGTGCGTATCCCCGCAACCCTCCCGATCCACTCGATCGTACTGACTCTACTTGCAGCGCGACGAGCGCGTGTTGATCGTCTGGACGGAGGATCCCGCGAACATCATTCCGACCGTGAACGACTTTGAGGAACGTCTCATTCGTCTCCTCTGGCGATCCACTTCACGCCCAGCCGTCGCTTCCCTGTCGTCCTCCCACCCGGTTTCCTATGCCGACTCCGCCTCGGGCCATTCCCTCGTTCCCGTGTCCTCTTCGTCTCATCGCGCCCCAACCTCGTCGCTGGCACGCGAGATGGACCAGCCGTTCAACGCCGCCGACATCGAGAAGGGTGCTCCGATCCGCAGGGAGGTCATCAAGCGAACGTGGTATGGAAAGAAACGACGGGTCGTTATCGAGGAGAAGGCCACTGAAGAGGGGGACATCAATACGGCGCTGAAAAACGTCTCGCTCCTCTCTGGTCGCCGCTATACAATGGCCTCGCCGCTGGGTTATCCATGGGTATGTTTCCTTTGATACTGGAGAATTTGGCCCTTACCTCTATCGTCCGTTCTCAGTCTACGCTGGCAACGGTCTCAGTGAGTGGTCTCGCCCTTACTAAAGACTTGCCGACGCTCACGTTGTCTCATCCATGTAGAGATACTGATCTCTGAATGGCGCCAAGACGGCAAATTCACTCATTTCGCGCTCGCCATCGTGCTCCCGTTGCTGTTTTGCATCTCCCTCGTGCGTATCTTCACTCCTTCTCCTTTTCCCCGCGCATATACTCACTTTGGCCCCAGTTTTTCAATCTGCAAATCATGCAAAACGTAACGATGGCCATTGGTCCTATCGCGCATTACCACAAGAACTCCAAGTACTACTCCGCCGTCAAGCCTCGTCCGAACAAGCAGGTCGACAGCAACCTCCCGCACATCACGATTCAGATGCCGGTGTACAAGGAGGGTTTGGACAATGTCTTGTACGTCGCCCAATGTCCTTGGGGGCCTTTTGTGCAATCAACTTACGCTTTCTGGTACAGGGCACCGTCGTTCGCGTCGCTTAAGAAGGCCATGCAAACTTACGCTCGACAGGGTGGGACATCGAACATATTCGTAAATGACGACGGTCTTCGCGTATGCATCCCAAATCTGCGCGCAGCTTCTCCCCGCTGACATTTGACCGCAGCTTTTGAGCGAGGAAGATCGCGCGATACGCCTCGCCTACTACGAGACGCATGGTATTGGTTGGGTTTCTCGACCCAAGCACGGCGAAGGAAAGCGAAATCGGCGACGGGCAGAAGTTCGAGCGCGCGGGTCGCTTCAAGAAAGCCTCCAACATGAACTATGCCCTCACCCTCTCACGCAAGATGGAACGGCATCTCGTCCGAATCCAGACCGAGCAGGTCGCGCAGCCAACGGACGTAAACGCTATTGCATTGGAGGAGCGCGCGCTGATGGCCGCCGTCGAGGAGGTGTACGAGGAAAGTGGCCGTCGCTGGAAACCATGGGCGAAGAACGGACGCGCGTGCCGCATCGGCGAGATCATTCTGCTCGTCGACTCAGATACCGTCGTTCCAGAGGACTGTCTGCGCGATGCCGCGCGCGAGATGGCGGAGTGTCCGACGGTAGCCGTGCTTCAGCACGAGTCGGACGTAATGCAGGTCGCGCACCATTATTTCGAGAACGGGATCGCGTACTTCACGCGAAGGATCAACCGGTCGATTTCGTTCAGTAAGTTCAAATGTGTGTTTCGGGGCGCGGGGTCAATGGGGCTGACGGGTTCGGTTTGCAGCTACTTCGTGCGGTGAAGTCGCGCCATTCGTCGGTATGTTTCTATTACCTTAGTGGCGTACCACGTTTGACTGATGGGTTCCGCATGGTGCAGGACATAACGCGTTCGTGGTCTCCCTTTGTTACCCCCATGGGATGTCCAATTGATATAATTCATTCGACTGGGAGCAGATTCCTGCGATGGAGCGCGGTGCAGGATGCTTCCTTTACCACTAAGGAAGGGAAAGAGCTGATCTGGTCCGAGTCGCACGTCTCGGAGGATTTCGATCTCGCGCTCAGGCTCCAGATGCGTGGATTTATCATCCGCTGGGTGACTTACTCCCGCGGCCAGTTCAAGGAGGGCGTCTCGCTCACAATCGACGACGAACTGAACCGTTGGCAAAAATACGCGTATGGTTCGTCTTTCTTCTTCTTTTGTGCTGTGTACGACCTGAGGCTGAAGTGTTCTTGCAGGCTGCAGCGAGTGAGTTTCCGATGTGTCGGTAACCCAAAGTGTCGTGCTGATGCGTTTACAGGCTCATGTTCAATCCACTTTCTCAATGGTGGCGCCGTGGACCCATTGCTGGACAGATTCACCGCTTCCTTTGGAGCGGAGCTCCTCTGCACTACAAAATCTCCATGTTGGCCTGTGAGTGCGTTTTTTCACCGCTCTGCTCCAACTGCTGAATGGTCTTCCTCCACCTTACTCAGACATGTTCTCTTACTGTGAGCCACATCCCTTATCTCCCAAGGACTGTCGCTGAACATCACTTTTACAGACGGTATCGCCGCCAGCGTCACCATCGGTATCATCAACTACGTCCTCCTTGGCTTCCAGTTCCCCGTCGACGCGTTTTACCTGCACTCGTTCGAAATTTGGCTCGCCACCACCGTCGTCTTCTTTGGTTCTGGAAACCTCGGCTTCACCCTTCTCGAGTACCGATTGGGAGAAAAGCCCCTGGTGCGTCCCGTTCCAGGTTCCACCCTTATCCTTCATGTGCCTTACAACTGGTTTCTCTCATTCAGTTCAAGGGCCTCCTGATCAATCTTGCCTGGATTCCGTTCTTGTGCGTTTCGTTCTCTCGCTTTCGGGGTTGTGTTTACGGCGGTCACTCACACCGGGATGTTCGCGTGTGTGCAGCTTCTTCTTTTTTGGTGGATTGGCCATCCCGCTCAGCCAGGCAATCCTCGCGCACTTGTTCTCGTACAACATGACTTGGGGTGCGACGGGTAAGGAAGTCGAGCGGTCCAACTTCTTCAAGGAGGTGCCGAAGATCGCAAAGCGGTGCGTCATGTTCTTCACTTTCCCTCCCCACCCCCTGCCACTTGACCGCCTCTACTGCATCCGTGGAGCTCATTCATATTGTGTGAACAGGTTCTGGTTCCCGCTGTTGGTGTCCATAGCGATTTTGGCGGGCATCGTCATTTGCGCAACGCCACTCGTGCCCCTCGAATGGCGTGTGGACGGCTCGGGGTGGGCCGTCATATTCCCGCTTGCGTGCGTCCTTTCTCCCGCGTTCGCTCGGTGCTTCTTGATCTCATTCGTGTCTGTTCCATTGCCGTTTAGCCTCGCCGCCGCGTGCCATGTACTGTTCCCGGTGAGTTCGCCGTGTGACGGTGGGGCTGATATGCAGAGCTGACCGGGGGTCGTCCGTATATCTTTATTTTCAGATCGTTCTCAACCCGTGGTTGATGATCTTCTCCTACTGAGCGCGCACGCGCACTAAAGGACTTTGTATTGCTGGCGCCCCGCGGACGCGCTCGTCTTCTCCCTTGTTTCAGTTCCAGACGATTTTGGACCGAACCGTGCTTCTTTGTCCTCTCTGACTCTCCTCCTCACGCACACGCACACCCAACGCTCCTTACTCATAAACTTACGTTCCTAGAAGCTCTCATACACGCACGAACTTACGCAGGTGCCGCCGACGGCGCCGGACTCCTTTGCTGTTTTTGCTCCTCTGTTTATACCGCCATATCCTTGTATCCTTACTCAATTCTTTCCATTAGCGCTTCTTTTTTCCTCTATTAGCCCCAGTGCTCTCGTGGGCGATACCCCGTAGTCATACCATTCCCATTCTCACCTACTACATAGTCTGCTTTTTCCCTCCCTCCTTCTTCCTCGACACGATGTCGTGTGTGTGTACGCGCCCGCTCTGTTGTACTTTCGTTGCCGACCTATACCGTTCTGTACAAGCGGACTCGAGATACACGCATTAGACCTTTATATTCACGCGACTCACGGGTATTGCTTATTGCTGCTGTTACCGGACAGTTGTTTATGGTTTCATGTCTACATACACGCCTTGTAACAAATTATTTTGTTGGTCTTGCGTCGTGCGCTGTTAAAGGAGATGGGAAGATGGGCTCACCGTTTATCGTTAAGCTGAGATGTCGGGCGGTCGAGAACGGCGCCTGGGTAGATATCCAGTGAGCGTAAGACTTTCAGCGGTGAATTACCAGGCTATAAGTCAAAACCAGCATTGAATAACAACCGAGGGAGACTTATTCTAAGCATTAGTGGGGTAGTGATAACCTGGGTCGTTGCCATTAAAACTCGACCCGCCTGGAGTTCGATTCTCCGTTAATGCACTTGCACTTCATGTTTTTCCTACCCAATCTTTTTATCTTTGTATGCAATAATATTATAATGCAGCCGCAGGCGCAGCCTGCAGGTCCGGTGCAACCACGGTACTTTGTGGGTAACGATTCAACGAACGCCGAACGGGTTGTAATTTGTAAACTTGTTGTAGCTGTAGTCTAGTCTGCAAGTGACAAGTGTAGACTGTAGACGTAGACGGTACGGGTAGACTGTAGTCACTGCTATACTAGTTATTGGTTCGTCCTTCTCGCACTCTCATCCGACCTCACTTGGACCCTCTTGGACCCGACTTCAACTGTCCCTAACGTCCCACCGCTACCACATACGCGCTTCAATCTCCCATCATGGCTCCCCTCAACGATGATGAGGTTCTTTCCGAGATGAACAAGATGGTACGCCGTCGCGCTAACACCGTTCGCATCCGTACTTTCTCTCAAACGTATCCTATCGCCTTGTTCATGTCCCATTTATCATACGCGTTCCGGAACATAGGTCGCCTTCATCAAGCAGGAGGCTATGGAGAAAGCCCGCGAGATCAGGGTCAAGGCCGACGAGGAGTTCGCGATCGAGAAGGTGCGGCACGCATCCGCCTGGCATCCATCGCTTCGGCATCGCTCACTTGCTTTCGTCGTGCACAGGCCAAGCTCGTCAAGCACGAGCAACAGGCGATTGACGCTCAATTTGAGAAGAAACGCAAGGGGTCGGAGACCGCGCAGAAGATGTACGGTTTTGGTGTCCCTCGGGGTTATGTTCTGTGAATTGACGTTGTGCCCCACGCCTCGCCTCGACAATGTGCAGCGCGCAATCCACCCTGACGAACAAGTCCCGTTTGAAGCTTCTTCATCGCCGGGAGGAGCACCTCCAGGACCTCTTCGAAACCGCCCGCTCCGAGATCGTCAAGCTCGCCGCAGAGGAGGGGCGCTACGTCCAGTTCCTCGAGGGCGTCCTCGTCCAGGGATTCCTCCAGCTCCTCGAACCCTCCGTGACAGTGTACGCCCGCGCAAAGGACGAAAGCGCGGTGAGGCAGGCCGTCGACGCGGCGAAGAAGTCGTACAACGAGATCAGCGGAAGGGACGTCGAGGTGGAGGTGGAGACTTCGTTGAGCGATGAACTGTGCGTTTCTCGTTCCGTTCGGTGAGATATGAAGCTTATACGGCGTTGGTGCTCGAACAGGGCTGGCGGCGTGAAACTCATTAGCGGAACGAGGCGCATCACGCTCGACAACACTCTGGACGAACGCCTGCGATTACTTGAGGGTCGGGTACGTAGTTCCATTTCCTCCCCCCTGCTCGCATTCTGCTTTTATCATGCACGTCGCCTTCACATTGTCCTTACGCTGTACTTTCCCCTTCAGATGCTTCCTGAGATTCGGAAGGATCTCTTCGGCGCGAACGAGAACCGCAAGTTCTACACTTAGACATCCTTTTCGATGTGTAGTACGAAGGATACGGACATTGCACTCGACAGTCAGCGACGAATTCCCTCCCATGTATCCCTCCGACCGGGGGCAACTCATACCAGCTTGTATCTTTCTCATAATTCACCCAAACAAGTTTATTTCCCCCGCACCCCGGACTGTCGTGAATGATTGGAAAATCCCTAAGTAAACGCGGGCCCCAGCCAACAACTGAAATACGGCGGTCATGTACGTCGCCTCCCATGTTTTATCCAAGTCGTCTGCATCGCCGCTATATCGTACACATGCGTCCACGACGAGAGGCTTTCAAGGCCCTCCAGCCAGGGCGAGGATTTTGGCCACCGCCTGCTCTGCAGCGGACATGAGCATCCCGTGTGGGTTGCCCATGGGCAAAGCGGGGATGATAGACGCGTCTACAACAAACTGGAAAAGGATATCCCGCAATGAGCACCCAACCGGGAGCGTTGCGAGGGACGAACATACCAGATTATTCGTGTTGAAGACCTTTACGTTCGTGTCGACGACGGCGGTGGTAGGGTCCGTTCCAATCTTGGCCGCTCCAACCCAGTGATTCGAGCCCATCGTTGCCTGTAGTAAGTGAAACCCCGGGTCAGACGAGCGGCGCAGATTGTACTACGCATGGTGATACATACGCGGTCGTAAGCCTCGACTGGTAGCCAAAGTCTGTATCAGCGAGTCTACCGGAAAAGAAAAGAGACCTGTACACACCATACTGGTCGATTGTCATGTGGTTGTCCGGGGTGATCATGGTAAGACCAGATACTGTTCATCGACTGGGTGAATCGGGAATTGACACGCGTTAAAGGAGGGAAACACACTATTGTCGATGTTCGCAACGAGAGTCTTGATCGCGGCGGTGAGCACCTGCTGGTCTATCGGGTCCTGGAACCAAGGTTGCACGATGGGCTGAGCGTTCAAGCTCGCAGTGATACCGATCCGTCCACGCGAGGTGACACCGTCCGACCTATCCGCGAACATCTGAGCATCGACGAAGGAGATGATATGAAATTGAGAACCACGTACAGGTAAGTCGTGATGGTGAAAATCTCGCTGGCGTTATATGCGTTTGTTGTGTTGACGGACGCGGCTCCGGGACGGACGGTACCCTGCAACCAGCGCGTCTTTCCGTCGGGTCCGCCTAGAGCCTCCCAGAAGTTCATTCTGCGATCGCGTTAGAACAACATCCTTCGTGTCAGCCACGAAAAGAGAAGCGCACCGAGGTGAGGCCGCTGCGAAAACGCCAGACTGGTCTTTGAGGTACTGTGCCGCGTCCGCCGGACGAGGATCAGACCAAACGTCCGCCCAGTTGTCGTACGCGTCAATAGACGGGTGGGTGAACACCAACTACGCGCCCGACGTCAGCGCGTGTCACACATCTGCGACCGCACGGCGAAGGAGCGAGCTCACGTTGATTGACGGGTTGTCCGAAACGTTCATGCCCACGGGAAGGTTGATCAAGTCCGCATCCGGGGGCAGGTTCGTCGCCGCCGCCGCGTTCTGCTTCACCACCGCGATCATGTCCGACGGACCTATTCCGCTCTGGAAGAGGATGCGTGAGGTGCCGTACGCGCCCGCGGAGAGGATTACGCGCCCGTTGGGGGTGAGCGGGACGACACCGTTGGGCCCGAGCGAGGTGTCGTTCGTGCGCACGCCGGTGATCGTCGGTCCGTTGCGCACGACTTGGCTGACCATCACGTAGTCCTTGTAGGTGAAGTTGGGACGGGCGGAGGCGGTCTGGAAGTAGGTGGCGACGGGGCCTCCGCGTTTTCCATCGATGAACTGGTTGGAAAAAACTTAAGGGACAGTGAGAGCGAGGGAAACAGGGGGACGGAACGTACATCGAAGGCGCTGTGTCCGTAGACGCGGTCTTTCTGATTCGGTCCGTCGTTGATGACCGCCTCGTTGAAGCCCTGCGGTTGGAGAATCTGCTGGACGACTGTGTAGGACTGCTGGAGGTAAAGCTGGCCGTCTGTCGAAGGATGGTCTGTGCTAGGAAGGCGCTCCATGACCTGGCTGGTGTACGGTTGGTGGTCTTGCCACCCCGAAGGCCATCCGTTCGACGTGAGAAAGTCGGAGTCGGCAGGGTACCAGTAAAGTCTGGAGAAGAAAGGCAGGTTGAGCATGATTAGGGGGCTCGGAACAAGGTAGATGTCACGCACGCGCCGTTAATCGACGTCCCACCACCCAGAAGGCAGCCAGCGAAGACAGTGATATCTAAAGATGGAATTAAACAACGCCAGAATGTCGATGGCACGGATTCATGGGCACCTTTGCACCAGTACCACGGGTTGCTGTCGGTAAACATAGACTCGAACAGGCCGGGGATATCGAACTTGGTTAACTAGGATAGTTCTCACGATCAGACGCAGTTCAGGGCGTGTCAGACAGATGCGTACCTCGGTCCCATTCGCCCAAGGCGCGTTGTAAGTGCCGCCTGTCTCGCCCGTGCTGGGACCACCGCGTTCAAGCAAAAGAACCTTCTTTCCGGCCTCAGAAAGACGGTCCGCGGCGATGATTCCTCCGGGTCCTGCTCCTACGATGATATAATCGTACGGTGTTCCCTAACGCACCAAATCAATATTGCATCGAGTCATCGAAAACAGCGAAGAATACCGTCGAAGTGGGTGTGCTGCTTGGAGAGGACGTCGACGTGGGAGTTGTGCTAGTCGTAGTGGGTGGCCCACTTCCCGGTTGGCCATTGAGATAAGCCGTGTAATCTGCTTGCGAGGCATGGGCGGCGGCCAAGTTTTCGCCGAAGAAGCCGACTAGGAGAACGAGGCAAAGTAGGCGGGGAGAAGTGCGCATGGTTACGAAGGGTCGGAATGAAAAGGGGAAGGGGTCTCACAGTCGGTGTGCTCTTGGAAGGTGCTCTGCGGGTCGGATGGATCGTCGACGCCAACGTTCGAGTAGGCCCACGCGAACACAGCGGTGCTTGCAGTATTGAGACCTCCACCCGTCCAAGCTTAAAAGGCGATCGACGCGAGCGCTAGTCAAGGATGACGTCTTCGAGAAGACGCTCGGACGCTTACTCGTGCAGTTTTGGCACCGGAACACCCATTTCCAATGCGTCGAGTTTACCGCGGTAGAAGGAAGATTTGTGATCGTTGGCCCGTCGTATTCACTGTAAAACGCCAAGACTTCAAAATCGCGCAAAGAATGGGGATGCGGCGCGCTTACACTGGCTGAACATAGGTACTGCTCAACAGAAAACGCGAGGTCAGCGGGGAAGTGAAACAGGGCAAAGGAGCGAAGTAGAAGGAAGAAACGCACGTCGCCCAGCGCGTTGAGTAGACGATTTCGTTTGCGTTTGGCCACGCAACGAGCAGGAGGTCGTTCAGCATAGCGCCGCCGAGGGCGAGCCCGATCCATTTGGCGGCGACGGGCGCGACGATCTCGCCGATAAATTCGGTAGACTGGGCTCCGGAAGTGACGAGAGGGGGGAAGACGGCGCCGTAAGTGACGCCATAGGTGGGGTCGGTGATGCCCTGGAAGGTGATCCCATTGCCAGAGTCGTAGTAACTGGTTGAGGACTGGGCGAGCGCTGGGAATGCA